TATCATTTTTTTCTGAAACATAGTATCTTTAAATGTACTTAATCAGGTCCTCCCTCAATTTCAGGGAAATTTTCTACATTTACATTGTGAAATTCTATTCTAGATGGATATTATAAGTCACATTAAATCATCTTTATCTTCATTCCTTTATAACACTTTATTTCTAATTGCTTTATTTCTTTGTCTTTTCCCTCTGCACTTATTGTGAATATCTTGACTTCTCTCTGTCAGGACTTGTAGTACACCTATGCTTACAAGTTTGCAGTATGGGTTTCTGGAGATTGGGAGGCTAAAGTGAGGTGCCTGATGACATATGGGAGTTATGGCATAGGACCTTTGAAGTTGTGTTCCCACATCAACGTTGACTATGTAAACTTTGTTTAATTCCTTATAGCTTAAAGAGCAATTTCATGTATATCATCTCATTTAACCTTTACGGAATCTTAAGAGGTAGACAGGGGAATATCATTTCTGCTTCTTAGATGCATGTAAGTAATCAACTGAATCACTCTCCTATAATTAGAATATTAATGTCAATATAACATTGTTATTTAGCTGATGCAAACTTTTTCCCTGTTGCCCATCTCCAGTATAAAGAAAAATACTCATTTTGCCACATTGGTGCAGCTCGGCATGGCCATGTGACATATTTCTGACTGATAAGATGAAAGAACTTCTGCTGCAAGAGCATATTGGTGGAAAGCTTTTACTTTTCTGACAAAGCAACGGATAGTGCTAACATTTCAGTTTCCCTGATTCCTTCTTCCCTTGACATGAACACAATGCCAAGAGATGGGGCAGTCATGAGACAAAGTACAGGAACAATTCATTTGATATTAGCCCCAATATGGTTAAATCATGGAACCAATGTCATCAGCTGCCTGCCTATCTCTAAACTCCTTATTCTAGGAAAAAAATAATCCTCCTTTTGTCTATCCCATGTTATTTTATATAACTTGTGGACAAAGTATTCCTAATACTGTCAACTGGTAATAATGTAAATGCATAGAGATTATTTAGGCTCAATATCATATATAAATTTATCTTAAACTTAAATAAAAGTTTGAATCTTATAACCACCTTTATTTTTTTTCCTGATAATTAACAAGATTATGTTACTTCCCATAAGGAACTGGAATCTTACCTGGGAAGAAAAACTTGGCATTTTAACACATTGGGCAAGTACTCAAAATAAATTGTCTCAAGAACCAAAGTTAATTTATGCCATTTGAATAGAAAATAATATTAGTTTAATTCATTGTGTTTCCAAGTAAACCAGAAGAATAAGAATGACTAAAATTCTTTGTGTATAAATCTAAATATTTTTCCTGATTTGCAAGAGTCTGCTAGACACTGAATGATTATTTTCATTTGCATAGTATAAGCAATTCACTTTCTCATACATCTTAAAAGTCTACCTACACAGGAGATAAGAATTATGTTGTTTTATATTAAAATTGATACAATATCATGAATCATTTTCATTGACTGATGATTTATAAGCTCTTCCCCTTCTGGAAAACCTCATTATTTTTTGAAGCCTCTACTACTCTCCAAAAACCATCCCAACTTAATAAGTAGCCTACCATGTTGTGCCAATTTACAAGTTATGGGTGATATGGGCAAATCTTTTAATTGATTTTGAATTGTGCAGTTTGTCTCAGAACTACATAAACATTAAATAATTCAGAGACTAAATGAAACCTTATAATGCAGCACACCAAAGTTGTTTAAACAAGTTTTTTTTTTTGATAATCAGATAATTATACATAACTAGTCATCATTACTTCAAACAAATTATGTTTTGTTGAAGCATGAAAGAGGTTTCCTGGCACTCTTTTGAGTTCAACTAATCTTATTGACAATAGGTGTCTGTCAGCAAAACCTGTTTATTGGTGTTATGGCTTGGTTATACAGCATGTGTGGTTGCTGCTCTGTAGTAAGCGTCTCTTAATTATATCATTTTTCAAATAAATATTTGTATCTTTTATTTTGAAAAATCACAGGTTCAGTAAACTTGGCAAATGTGTGTATATTTTGAATACACAATGCTTTGTCTTTTATTCACTGTAGATTATCTGTAATAATACACTGCTTCATAAGACAGCACTAGAGAAGAAAAAAAGGCAAGCAGTTGTTTGGGCTGTGCATTTAAGTACTTAAACGGAGTCACTCTGCTTTCAGACATTCTTGCTTGACTAATTCACTGGAGTCAAATGGTTTAGGGTGCTGTGTCATGCCAATCAAGAACATTAGCATCATTTGTGCAGTGGAAAAGCTTGTGTTGAAGGGAGGAGGGATTCTTTGGCTCTGTCTACACGGATTAAGTAAAATGGAAAACTAAGGCATTTATCCAACTAATTCTGACAAAAAGAAAAAAAAGTGGGGTCAATTATTCAAGTGGTTAGAGATGTAATGGAGTTCATTGGATAAGTACTCCATTATTTTTCCTTTTTTTTTTTTTTTTTATAACTGGAATTGTTTTTGTGTTTCTGTAGAATGTGAGGCACACTAGGAATACCCTCATGGAGCATCACTCAGGGGACTGTCAAAGATAAAGGGGCAGCAAATTCTTTGATATATCATTGCTTAAAGGGTTTAGCACATGTAGATAGGATGATGATAAACTACTTCCACATAATAGAATGTACACCTAGAGGATCAGCATCCTTACTCCATGTAACTTTCTAAGAATGATAGTTTGAATTTATAAGGTAATTATTGTGACTTTGAATATACTGTTATTAAGCAATGTTACTTTTGATTGTAATAAAATTGAGATAAGCTCTATTTAAACCACAGGGACAATAGACGATGCTCACTTTCTTTGAGTATTGAGGAGTTCTTACTTTCAAGTTTAAAATATTTCAATAACTATATATACTTTCAAAAGTTAAAAAAAAAAATCTATGCCACCAGGGAAAACAGACAGGTAACATATAACAAATTTAAAGAAAATGTCTTAAGAGAATTACAGACTAACATTAAACATTCAAAAAATATTTATTGGACAACTTAGGGTCAAAAATTTTCTCTATATTATCTTCTAAATTATCTTTCTTAAAAAGAGAAAAGAATTTGAAACATGTTCTACATAGGTCTATTAGATAAAGCTTGAAAACTCTCTTCCAAATAGATACTATTTTTCTCAGTTAAACTATAGTTAAAATGTTCCAATATAATGAATTAATTTACACTTGCACCTGTCTTAATTTTTGCTTTATGTAGTTTTTTGAAGATTTTGTTTTATATGTTTTAATTGACTATCATTCTAGAATTTTATATTTTCCATTGCACTGAATCATTCATCATTACCTAGTTACCTCTTTTAGTCTCAGGAATTCTTTTCAGCTTATTGTCTATTTTGTCTGATAATAATCAAACTGCACTAGCTTTCTTTTTCCTTTTTGGTTTTGGATTTTGGTGGTATACTTTTTCCTATTCTTGTCCATTCAAGCTATTTGCATTTTTTTAAACAATTTGCATTTTTATGTGTTACATATATCTATTTGTTTTTCACTGGATCATTTAACCCACTTAGATTTATTATAAATACTGATTATTTAAGTTTAACTCTATCTTATTTTGAGATAAAAATTTGTCTCTCCTTTTCTAGGTTCATTTTTGCCGCCTTCATTTTCTTCTTTTGAATGTACAGAGTATGGTTTCTCATTACATTTTTTTCTTTTTACTTAACACTGTGTTTCATTTCTTCCAGTAATAACTGGGAATTTTAACATGCATACCAACTTTTCAAATTCTGAGGCTAATCATCAATTCACACTCCTTCCAAACAAATGTTAGGACACTATTAACTCTGAGAACTTCTTCCCTTTTCATTCAGTATTGCTATATGGATTTTTACTTTACCTTATTTTTCTCTTTTATAAACACAAAAGTGGTATTGTTTTATACAGTCAATGTTTGTTTAGCCTTACCAACATATTAATTAGTTTCTTAGATTATCATCCCTCATTGCATCTCAGACTTTTCACATGGAAATGTCTTTATTTCACCCTCACTCTTGAGATACATTTGTTGAATGGAATTCTAGGTTCACATTAATTTTTCTTAGTGCACTGAAGATATTCTATCTCCAGCTTCCGTTGCTACTGATGAGAATGCGAGTGTTAACTGAATCATTATATTTACTTAGACAATTTATCTTTTCCATTTGATTTTAATATCATTTCTTTGTCCTCAATGATATCTAATTTTAGCACTCTATATGTCTCTCTATATATCTGTACATCTATATATACATATAGATATAAATATAGATAAATGTGGATTTTAAAATTTTTTCCTTGGGATTTTGTGAATCTAAGGATGAGTGTTTTTCATTGGTTCTGAAAAGTTTTTCAGCCATTTTATCTTCAAATGTTGCTTCTCTCCATTCTTAATAAAACTTCCAAATATATATGCCTTAGAGTTTTCACTCTATCCTCCATGTTTATTAATAACTCAGTCATGTTTTCTATCTCTTTATCTTACTTTACTACAATCCATATAATTTCTTCAGATACATCTTCCAGTTTATAAATTCTCTTTTTATCTGTGTCTAATCTAATTTTAGAGTTAAGTATTGAGTTTTTAATTTCAATTATTATATTTTTCTTTCACTGACCTCTTTGGTTAATTTTATACCTGCTTGGTCATTTTTTAATAAGATTCTGCTCTCTTGATTATTTTTATCCCCTATTTTAATTTATTAAACATGCTGAACCTACTTAGTCTTTTTATTATATATTTTCAATATATGAAAATTTGGGGTCAGGTTCTTTTGTTCATGTTTTCTGTGGATTTGTGTGTTTTGTAATTTTGAAATTGAGTTCACATTCTTTGAACTTTATTTATGCACATTTATTGAGGTTTGGATTTAAATAGGCTCCTTTAGAGACAATTAGCATTTGTTCCTGCTAGGTACCTGGGGGTACTCATGATCAAGCATCACTTTAATTAAGGTGTGGTTTGAGTTTTATTTGCCCATCCATATCCAGGTGCTGTGAATTCCATTTGTAAACCTAGCTGGTAAAGATTGGCTTGTGGTGTGAATTGCCAAAGAAGAGGTTTTTCCTTTATTCAAAGTTCAAGATGAGCAATTTCTGTTGCTGATCCCTTGGGAGAAGGTAATATTTCTACTTATACTGGGATTGTGGCTCTTTATGGTCCCAACTTTATAAAGAGGGTCACCTTTGAAACACCATATCCTTCCCCTGTGAGCACTGCAACCTGTGAAGATGTAAAAAAGGACACTCAAGTTCACCTAGGTTATCAGTGTCCTAAGGAAACAAATCATAGTAACTGTTTTACTTGCCTCTTGGGTTCTAACTTTCAGTTAGTTTTTGACCTCTGAGAACTATTAAACTTTCTTGCCATGTTACTGGAATACCTGCAAATATGTATTCATATTTAAATCAGTATTTTTAGTTGTTACTGTGGGAGACTTAATCTCTGCCAAACTGCTAGAAAAACGGTGTCAAGAACTCCCATATCACCTGTGTCTGAGTGAATAAAATAAATAACTGGAAGAAATATCTTAGGAGTAGAGAATCCACGTACCTGGGTTTGCGCTAACCACATTACTCATGATTGGCAGGGTGCAGTGCAGCCACAGTTGTTCCAGTGGTCAGGACAAGTAAGTGTAAACACCATAATGTTCTCTGAAGGCTCACATGAAATTGAACCAATACCACATTAGCCTGAGAGAAGGCACTGCAACTTACCAGGTAGTTCTAAGTATCCTAATCTAGATGGCAACAGTGGTGACTGCAACAATGAAATTGTTTGGCTGACCCAGTGACAGGAATGGGAGATTTGAGGTTGATGTGAAGTCAGGTGCAGTGGGTATGGTTCTGGACTGGCTGTTCACAGGTGTGTCCTCTAAACTCACCTTTGCCACTGAAGGTCTGTGTGAAGTTGGGCAAGTTGCCTCTCCTCCCTGGGCTTTATTCTACTTATCTGTAAAGTGAAGATGCTGATGACATGTGAGAAAAAACCTGTGGCCTCTCACTTTCAGCTGTCACTTTATCTCCTCCGGGGCCACCATATTTCTTCTGGTAATATGCTTACTGCTCCTAATGTTCAAAGAGTCTTTTCTGAGTGATTCTAAATGTTTCATAAAGTAATGAAATTGTCAGATGACTCAGATTTTACTGGAATAAAGGGAAAAAGAAACCCAGATTACCCCCATACAAGTGTTATTTATGAATGGTGGTAGTCAAGAGACTTAAGTGTAAGATATAGCATAAATTATAATCTTTATGACAAATTATTTTCCTGAGCTCAAATTCCAGGTAATTTTTTTTATTGTAGTTGTTCTAGGATATTCTGCTAGTCCATTATTGGTTACATTATGAAAGTAATGAATCTCAAGTTCTAGGATCCCTCATTTGCACATACCTCTTCCAAAGATCCCTTTCCTCTAATTATAAGTAACATTAATTAAATTAAATAACATTCCTCTCAATTAAATAGCATTAACTTTTCTACTTAATTTTTGTTTGTAATTTTGTATATTTTTCAAAACCAGGTCACCCAAATTGTATAAATTTTAGGGCCCATTAAATCTGAATCTGCCCTATTTACCCCTTTGTTGAATACTATTTTCTCCTTGTTTTCTTTGACTTAACACTTCCCTCAACTTCCACTAAAGAAAACAAACAAACTAACAAACAAAAAAAGGGATTTTTGATTCAGTTATACTTAGAGAGTATGGCTCTGATCTGTTAAAACCAGAGAGCAATTTTATCATTATGCAAAAACTCTTTGATGATTCATTGTCCTCCAAAGCTCAAACTTTTTTTCTTTTTTTTAAGCCTATGTCCTTAGAAGAAATAACTGGTCACTGTAGTGTCCGTAATAAGTTGTTAAAGTGCTAGTGAGGATAAACATTTTAATTCATTTTGCAATTTCCAATCTTACCACCATCACAAAGTATCTTATAGTTTCAGAAGCATTTGTGTGCTGTTGAGTTTGGTAAAGGGAGATTTTTTTCAATTGCTTCATGTAGTTTGAAAACTATGATAACATGAACAATTGTTAACTTCAAAATATTCTATTCAGTTTGTATTGTTTTAACATTAAAATTATACTCTCACATATATACATATTGACTATGGCTGGCCATTTCTAGGAATTTGGGTATTTTTGTTAAAGACAAGCAGCCTATTTTGAGATTTTATTTTACATATTTTATTTTTATTTTGAGGGGAATCCAAATATCTACACCATGAACTTAAATTCCTATAGCTGCCAGAACTGACAGAGAATTAGCAAGGCAGAGCCAAGTTCACGCAAGACTGTCTACGGCGCTCTTATAGCTAAAGACAAACCAAAATATTGACTAGTTCTTCTCAAAACAGCATGTATAAGTTGTGGCTGAAATAAGCCTGATGTAAGAAAGAATACAGATGGCAGTATAATCATAGGCTGGGTCTACATGATGCCAAACAACCCATTCAAAAGTGAAAAACTCAGTCGATCAGTTGGTGGTTTTGTCTACGTGCCACCAAGCAACAGGCTTGACTGATTTCTTCACAAAATTGACTGAGCTTTTGACTAGACTTGAGCAGATGTTTTATCACTATGTATGTTCAGTCTTAGTTGTCAAATCTATAACTCAAATAAGTTCCTCTATGAATGATGAATTTCTTTCCTACATCAAAACAACCTGAAAGTGTTAAGCAAAGATCATCTGCAGTTTTTAATTCATCTTAGAGCCTAGTTTAATTCATGTGCTTGGCATACTTTAGAGTATGCCTGATAAGAAATAGGGTCTCCCCACTTATACACCCATCTTTAATATTTCATTAATTTATTTGGTATCATTGCAACTCAAATACACATTAAAAAGTAATTAAAATTCATTTCACTCCTCTTTTTTATTCAACAATTTCCCTGGTATATATAACCTATTTGCCATGAACATATCAAATTACTACCAGAATTTATAATGATTGCTTTTGATATTTTTTCTAATTCTTTTAAAAAAAGGCCTCTGACTAAAAGATGGATCACAAAATATTTCAAATATTTCATGATTAAAAATGAAAACAATCAAACAGACACTTTTAAAAATAAATTCTGTGTGAGCAGATATCTCATGCTTTGGTGTCTATTGGGTCCCTTGTACCTATTACAGTTTGAGCCTTAATAAATATTTATTTAATGAATGATTCAGTGGATTATACTATACTATTTTTGCAGCCATTGACAACTTATGGCCTGCTAAGAAAGGAGTGGGAGAATAAATATTTCTACTTACTCCCTCCTGTCCTATGAATGCACTGCCCATGCTTCTATTGACTAAACCCAACTGGAAACCAGAAGTCAAGGGAACTGTTGAAGACAACTGCATGGAAAAGGGTGGGCAGTGGACCTAGAATGAGGCAAACATAGTATCTGCTATCTGCACACTGCTGTCCTCTACACAATCACTGGTGATAAAGAGCTTGGCATACATTATAGTTCTTATAATTTTCACACATACAAGCAGGAAAATTATATATATGTGTATATTACACATTTATATGTATGGAGGTAGATAGATAAGTGAAAATGCTCAAAATCTGGAGTCAGAATAGTTGATTTCATCTTAATTCCCGTGAAGATGTAGTGCCAAATGTTTTTTAAATCTCTTTCCAACTATATTATTCTTTGACATGGACTAAAGCAAATGTCTTGAAAGACCATTTACTTTTAATAAACTAAAACTTCTATTTAATTAAAAATGTAAAAAATTTTTAGAGAAGCTGGAAAATACAAAAAATGGAGAGTGAGACGTACACAAATTCATAACTGATGCTTCCAGGATTTAGTTTTTCCTCCACCTCCACAAGGCAGTTGTCAGGGAAGAGGATGGTTTTCTGGGTCCATCTCTAATCACTTCCCTTCTTCTGATTTCTGTCCATCTTCCACCCACCGTTTTTTTATTTTATTTTATTTATTTGAGAGAGAGAATGAGAGAGAGAGAGAGAGCATGAGAGGGGGGAGCGTCAGAGGGAGAAGCAGACTCCCCACCGAGCAGGGAGCCCGATGTCGATCCCGGGACTCAATCCCGGGACTCCGGGACCATAACCTGAGCCGAAGGCAGTCGCTCAACCAACTGAGCCACCCAGGCGCCCGACCCACTGTTTTTTATATGCTGTCAGTTCTCTTCTTTTCAAGCTCAAAGAACAGGCAGGAGGATGAATGCGGAAAAAGCAAAGGACTCCATTCTGGGAAAGCTTCTCTGGAAATGTTTACTGCATCAGCATTAATATCTGCCAAAGAAAAGAGCACCTGCTTGCCTTCTGAGACTGCAGAAGCAACTGCCTTTATTTCAAGTTACCTGGGACATGCTCTGGGGTACAATCTTTATGTGCTTAATGGACAGGTCCTCTACAATGTTAACAGTGGGCTGATGGGGGAAACTGTACTTTTATCTTCATAAATTTCTGTATTTGACTATGTTTTCAGCTAAGTTATGGATGGAGACCGACTTAGCCCAAAGACCTCTTGTGGAGTTTTTTTTGTTTGTTTGTTTTTTGTTTTTACCTTCACTTTAAAACCAAAAAAAGAGAAAACTTCTAAACTTACTCAAAGGATGTGGAAATGATTTCTCAAAGCTCTGAATTTCCTGAGCTTGACTGTTAAATAAAACCCACCCAAACAGGAGGAATTGAAAGGATTGGGGACGGGGGTGGGAGGATTCTAAAGCATTTGTTTTCAGGTTGGCTAAGAAATTCTATTTGGTTAAACAGAAGCAAATTTCCCATAGCCATTCCCCATGCCCATAGCCTTTTCCTTCTGGAAGCATGAATGTTTGCCCTATTAAAAAAAGTAAATGTAAATACTCTTTCTATAAGATGTAGGTCCTTCTTTTATATATTATATTAATAATATACATAGGTCAAGGCTACAAATATAGAGAACACTCTTACCACTTTCCTGAAATCATTCATTTGAATATCATACTAAAACAAAATACCATATGTCTAGAGGAAGAAAATGTTAGGCTCCATTACAACTATCTTATTTATCTATTTATTCAAATTCACCTCATTTAAAAAAAGTTTCAAAGCATGAAAGCAGTGATCCTGCAATATATCTTCTTTGCTCAGTGTGATAAGGGCCAAATAGAGCTGCTTTAAAATTAAATGGGGGCAATTCTTTCTTTTACTTTCCTAGGACTTTTATCCCCTCAGAGTAAACTGTTAATAGATACAGAATATTTCTATTGATTAATTCAGTATGCCAGCTATGATATGATTCACAGAAGGCAAAAGAAATGCCAATGCTTTCATGACACAAGGACACATTACCAAGAATACTGTCTATGGCTCTCTCGCATCTGTTAGGCAATTTTTACAGAAAAAAAAGAAAAGCCTTTACACCCGAAGTAGAGCTAATGGATAACTTAAGGGAGCTGTAATTGACATATTCATAACTCTTTTTTTCTGTTAATGTTAGGTTAGATCTTATTTAGTAATACTTCACTATTTGAGAAACTGGGTAAAGATTTTGTGCCGACCAAAGAATTTACTGAGGTACAAATGATTTTAAGTTGGGACAAGAAAATATTTTAGGTTGTACCATGTGTCATGAATATTTTAGCTATATTGATACAAATACACAAACGGAAACTTGAAATAATTCACCTTAAAAGTAGAGAAAATAAAAAGCAAAATGTCTTAATATCCATTACAGGAATGTTGATGGTTTGTTTGCTTTTGTTGGTACATTTGTCTTGTATTTTGTTGGACTCCTTTATTTGAATAATTGCCTTGATTCACCACTTTATATGCTGGGACAGGTAATTAGTTAATAAGCTTATATTAAGCACCTACTCTGTGTCAGGTCTGGAATTATTTGAGTATAGCTCCTATTTAACTTGCAGATCTACAAAGGTATCAAACAACGAGATTTTAACAGGAAGAGAACAAGTATCACTAAAAATATTTGACAGTCATAGCACTTACGGAGGTTTTTAAAAGTTAAAACTAAAACTCTTGTTTTGTGGTAGAATCACCCTTGATCCAAACCCGAAATGCACTGAAGAAAGTGTGTGACTGGGTCAGGTTTTCGTCCACCTAGAAACTTTGTGAACGAGTTTAAAACTGTGGGTATGCTCCTTGATAACTTCTTTGTGGTTCCAGGTCTGCAAATATTTGATGTGGACTCCTTAAGGACCAGTTTATCACAGTCTCCGGATTGGGCAGCAAGAACCTGGCACAGAGAGCCATCCTAGACTTCCTCATTTCTGTGACTTGAGGAATCCCATTGACTTCTTCCAAATTCTTATTTATTTATTATTTATTTATTTATTTTCTCAGCATCAGAGGGGAGTGGTCAAAGGAAGAAACCCAGAGGATGACGTAGATCATGACTGGGTGGGAAGAGATGCATGCTTGGTCCAGGGTTTTATTCAACTGGCTTTTCTCCTTCTAAGAGGAATGCTGTGTGATAAATAAAGGAACATCAATCTCTGGTCCCTGACAATAGGAATAGTATCACATAAACTCACAGTTTTTCCAAAACTAGCCCATATTTTCCTCAGTTTTCACTACTTTGGATGCCATCTGTATCAAAGTTTAATAAGAAGGCAATTCAAAGGAACTATAAGTTTAAAGGGAGAAAAAAAATTAAAAGAAAAAAAAAAGGCAGGCCTGGAGAGGGGGCACTGCTTGGCATCAGGTCACTGAGTGTATTCATTATTTGTTCCCATTACCATGTTATGTCTTAATTACTCTGGTTTGGCTTCCTACCCGGGGTCACTATGTCACAGCTGGTTTTCTGCCCATCCCTAATTAATAAAGCCTCATTTAGTATCCAAGTTTATTGTAATAAACCTCTGCTGAGGGATAGAGCAGAAATAAAGTGACAAAAAACAAACCAGAAATTATCAGAGTTGCTCTAACAGTAACCTTGTACCATAAAGGGCCTTGGTTCAGGCTTCTCTGGGTTACTTTTAACCTGGAAAAGTCGTCCACTTGGTTTCAGTTGGAATTTCTGGCATAACTGGTCAGTGATCAGATTTCGCCCATAGGAAAAAAGTGACAAAGGTTCTAAACACTATACATCATTTGGGGCTTATTAAAATGGTTATTTGCTCACACTTCTAGGGTTTAAGGTTGTTTTGCAAAACAAAAAGAAAAACTAAATGTTTTCAAATGGCAATATAAAAAGTAACCAGGCAGTTTTATCAAATGCTCTTATTTTGTTTCTGTGGCACTGCTTCCTTCAGATTTTGAAAGTTGAAGTAAAGACAAATTACATGAGAGCCTTTTCTAATTTGTTGAACATAATTCCAGCCAACAAAATTTTACAAATTAAAAAAAACCTTCAAAATTATCTTTACTATTATATATAGTTTCTCTCTGTCTCTGCTTCTGTCCGTCTCTCTTCTCGCTCTCTTTCACACACACACACACACACACACACACACACACACACACACACACACTGTTCAATTCTATTTACTAGAATCCACACAGCTCTTGAACAGATAGTTCATCTGCATTTTATCAGGTGTCTCTATAATTAAAGTTTATTGTAAAGTGTGATATTATTGGTATATTTTATTACTTGTCTATGAGAGGCTGAACAAAGTAAGAGGTATAAATGAATTCAGTTTTACAGTACTTTGTTTTAAGCAAATGTCACTACCTACACACACATACCTAATTATCAGTTCTTACACATTCTGCCAAATATCAAACCTATAGTTCATAAGCCACACTCACGACAGGCAGTAAATATATTTCCCCTAATTTAAAATTTTATTGCAAAATACCCTCTGCACTATGTTAACCTACACTAAATCATACTGTACACCCTCAGCTCTACTGGTGTTTACCTACTTCTGATTCAAAAAGGAAAACAGCACTAACTCCTATTTCTGGAGATCTACAGTAATAAAAATGAAAAGAAAAAAGAGAGCGACTATATGTAAGGAAGAGATTCAAAACAATGGGATAAGAGGGTTGACTTGGGCTGCAGCAAGGAACACATTAAGCCAAGACACTTTGTGTTTTGGTGTGGTTTCCAAAGGTTCTGTGTTCTGAACGTCAGAGTTGCTGTGCATAGTTTTGTACATTTCAAAGGCTCTCACAGCAGCCACGCAAAAATTCACATAAAGATTAAGGCTCTCACAGATGAACTGGGCAGTTGCTTTGAATGCATGTAGGTTACTGAGGCGCTATATATGACTGTTCTATTCAAGCACACGTAGGTGAAAACCAGCCCACCCTTTTCACAATGGGGAAATTAACTCCAGGGAGAACTCCTAAGAGGAGAGGTCCCTAGTGGGGCCTCGTTCTCCTGTCTATAGGCAACTGCTTTGCTATCAACCTACAGAAACAACTTCTCAGAGCTCAGCCCCAACAGAGGCTCCATTCCACTTAACCCATGATTCTTCACAGGTGCTTTGTTGTCCTCTAGCAGATATCATTTATTATCATGGCAGACAATGGGATGTGGCGAGGATGGATGTGGCGGTCATGTTCCATTTGCCAGTGTGAATTATCTCCTGATCCTGTTCTCTAGTCCTGGTGGGCTCTGAGTGCCCCATTTTGAAAAAGAGTCTGAAGCCATTAGAACAAAAAGCACTGGAAGGGCTTGGGCTGTTAAAGGCTACATCTGGGCTCAGCAACATGCATACTAATAACATCATTACGGCCGAGTGGTTTGGAGAGCGTGTTTACTTTGTTGTGGTTGCTGTCACCTTCTAGAGCTGAATTGTTAATATGTGGTTTTAAATTCAAATAGCACACAGGGCTAATTTTCTTGTATTTGCCCAAAAAATTAGGTTACATAGTTCATCTAATTCTCCCTCCACTTTTTCATGTGTGGGTGGTACTCCTTGTAGAGAGTACTTCTTTTCCATGACATTGAACTTGAACCTGACTGACCTTTCTATAATGAGTGAATTGAAAACATCTCCCTTTGGAATGTGGCTTGTAGATACTGGCTACGCCAGTTTTTCTGCATTTGATGAATTAAAGGGGCAGAGTCCTTTTCATAGACCTAGACCAGAAGAGTTATTTAACAGGATAAAAAAGAAAAAGAGAGAAAGGAAGGGAGGAAAGGAGGGAAGGAAGGAAGGAAGGAAGGAAGGAAGGAAGGAAGGAAGGAAGGA